CTTTTGTAATTTAATTTTGTGTTTCTATAACAATTGCAAGATCATGCTAATTCTTTGCCTTTTCTTTGAGTCACAGCTGAGAAAGTAGTTCCCTCTGCATTCGCACAAAAGAATGCTCTTACTCTAAACAATAATGAATTTTCAACCATGTTCAAAATATTGGGAGGGTCTAAACACCGATTTCTTTACTTTTTCTTTTGCTTTTATTGCCATTTTTAAGAACATAATTTTATGAATTTGGGTATTTTCATTTGCAGAGATCATGTAAACAACGAGATCCGCGCCTGGCTTGCACAAACCTTTGGGATTGGGACTTGATGATATATTATATAACTAAACTCCGCATCAAGAAAATAATATTTAAGGAGCAAAATAAAACTATCGTACAATAAATATCTATTATTTAGCTTTCATGTATTTATGTCTTATTCATAACCTAATATTTTAATTAACTATCCATAAAGATAATGAAAAGAACTGGAGTGCAAAAAATATATGAATGCATTATAAAGAAGTATACTCGTGTGTAGCGCATGTTTTGTTTTTTTATTTGTGATTTCTATTGTTAATTTGTTTACCTTTATATATATATTTTTGTATTTTTAGTTTTTACTTGATTTTGAAAATAATTTACACCAATTTTAAAAACAAATTTGATTAGCCTCTATACGTCAGTTTGTATAATACATATAATATAAACCTAAGCTTTTGATTACTGAAAACTTTTAAGAGTTTTTAATTACCCAAATCTTATGATAAATTTTGGATAATAGTTTTTGATACCCAACCAATCTTCATATCAATCTGATTGTATTTTTAGTTATGAAAATAACCATTTGGATTATAACTACATAATCTTGTATATTGGAACCTTATATGTTAATATCGAACTTTTATTTTACGAATAAATTTTAGGTAATACTTTATAATACCCGACCGACTGTTACCCACTAATACTTGATCCTCAACCCGCAACATTTAGGCTTTTGATAATATTAAAATAACATTTTTTATTACAAAAAACAGGAAACGAAAAATATTATTGTGGCACATATTAAAAAAATTACTTGATTATATAAAAGTAATCATACGTAACTCTTGAGTAGGTGACACCGTTGACTTTATATGTAACCATGACATAACTGAGAGTAAAATTAAATATTAAGATACATATAGTAGAAACTCTATAAATTAATAATGTCGGGCATAAGATATTTTATTAATTTAGCGAAATATTAATTTATCGAGAGATTATTGGATCAAAAACATAATTTGGGACCATACAATTTTATTGATTTATCGAGTTATTAATTTATCGAGTATTAATTTATAGAGTTTCTACTGTATTATGCCTTCTAAAATGAAAATAAAATCTCTGTAACAATTTTTTGTACTCTTTTAGAATATATTTTTCATCTTTTGTTTTTCTCATTTCAGTCAAATTAATATTTCTAACAATTCATACTCCCTATCATTTTAATCACTCATTTTTCATCAAAAACTAACTTATTTCGACTTATATATTTTATTCTTTAAGTTTCAGACTTAGATCACTCATTGTCATGTCAGAAACTTAAAAATTTGAAACACGGAAGCTTTAATTTTTGAGTTGCTCATATATATGAAGTCTTACTAAAGAACTACTTGCTGGTGCATCTGTTCTTCTCTTTACTATCGTCAATCTTTTCCTTGATATCCCATCGACGATTTTCTCTCTTTGTGTTTTTGACCAAGTCTTTTTTTTCAGGTTCCACACATACTTTGTAGGAACTTCTTCATATTTTAGGCTACCTCTTTGCAAAAAAGCGGCCAATTTGTATTCTTTTCCAGATATCAGATATCTGATTGAATCTGTGAATAATTAGCTAAAGAGTGAACAAAATTAAAGGAAAGTTAAAAAAACAGAGCGTAGTATCACATACCTTTGAGTGTTTGGTTACTGTTTTCCTGATATGAGGTCGAAGATAACCGTTTGAGGTCTATTTATGGTTGTGTTTTTGTTTTCGTTTCTCGTAGATTCATAATGAATATATGAATACTTTGAATAAGATCTAACTTTAATTGTATTGGGATTGTAGTTTCGTATAACCTCTAAGTTTGACCACTTCATTGAAAACTTTTTTTTTTTGTGGTTTTTTTTTTTTTTTTTTGGGTTCAAACATTGAAAACTAAATTATGATTCACTTTTTATTTTGAAACAAAGCCAATCCACTTCTCCTTCTCTTCTCTTACCAACGAACCTTCACTTCACCCTCTCTGTCGGTTCCTCTTCTTTTTCTTTATATTGCTATGAGTCTTTGACATTAAAGTGACAAAGTACCTCTCATTTGGATTCAGAAGATGCTGTTTGCCAATGATTCAATCTTTCTTATCCTTTTCCACATTTGAGAGAGGGTGCGACCAATATGCCAAAAATAAAAAAACATTTGAGGAGAGTATTATGTGAAGAGTACAACGAAACTCATCAATCTTTATTTACTAAACATGGAACAGAAATAAAGTCAAACTACAGAACAACTTGCCTGGTATCTTTTTGGAACCTTCGAAGCCTCCATTATCTTCAGTATCCTCCTAAGAGTACAACGAAACTCATCAATCTTTATTTAAGAAACATGGAACAGAAACAAAGTCGAAGCCTCCATTATCTTCAATACCCTCCGAAAGTAGCAGGCAAACAAACAAACCAAATGAATAAGACCAGCGACATAGGTTGACAACGAACAGAACAAACAAATGATATGTAAGTAATGATATCGGAGAAATCTGAGATACTAAACTATGTGCATGTTCTTTAATCGTAAAACTACAATCTGCATATATTTCATAGAAACCCAAAAGATACGCAAAAACTGCTAATCAACAAATAGGCAAACGCTTGCACTATTAGGGTTCTTCAATGTCGTTGTCATCGATGAATTCTCCTTGGGCAATCTACTATTTGAGAAATCGAGGAATGTTAAATTTTAAAACGAAATTAAAAAGCATGAAGAAGAACATAACTTTGCCTGTAACTTTTCGGCGAGACGCTCGAGAACACGGACAGCCAAAATCTAATCTCCAATTCGAAGCCTCCGAAGAAGAACGTAGAAAGAACGAATAGCTGGGATTCATGAAGAATTAAAGAAGAAGAGAAATCGTAACCGGCGGGGAGACTCAGAAGCCTGGAGAATGGGATTCGAGTGCTCGAAAAAGGAGAAAAATAGGGTAGACGAAGAAGATTTTTTTTTTTTGTTTTGAACGACGTTGTAGACGAAGAAGATAAAACGTGAGATAATCAGATAACCAAATAACAATAAACCAAACCAGATTAAAAACGTGGTAAGCAAAACCGGAAAAGTTGCTGATTGTGATTATTTAAAATGTTCTGATTGGCTCTTTGGTTTTAGTTTTTTACTAACATGTCAGTCTTAAGAAACCTAAAAAATCTTATATGTCAACACCTTAAGAGGCACATAGGATTTTGTTGTGTTAATTTTCATTTTGTGAGAACAAAAACAAAACTCTTATCCATTGCAAAAATATTGTCCGTTTTGAAATTGCAGTTTCAGCTAACTAAAAAGCTTTCTATACAACCGAGGAAACAACGATCAACCATATCCAGGTTGATTGGATTAAGAGTCAGTTCAAGCCATCCATTAAAGTAATTGACTGAATTATATAGGTAAGTTATTAGTATGTGAAAAACGGCCAACTATATCCAGCTGCTTGCTGAAGAGAGGAAAGGAACACTTGTCCACCAAAAAGAAAATATTAAGTAACTGAGAAGGGAGAATTGGCTATTTACCCCAAAATATAAGACTTCTTGTCCCATTACTCTTTTTTTTACTTTCCCGTTTTCTCTTTGTCCCACTACCCCTTTTTTTAACAAATATATCATTTTTACTCTTCTCTTTAATTAAATAATCTTTTAATTACATTTTTGTTATTTAAATTTTAAAAATGAATAAAAAGGGTAAAAACAGTAAATAAAAAAAAAGAAAAACTGACAAAACATTTATCTTTCCAGTCCCAAATGCGCTGTGGCGAAAACCTAATCTCATAAACTTCTCGCTGTTGCCGTGTTCTCCTCCTCCGTCTCCTGTGTTTTCCTTAGAAGTCTCTGTTTTCTCGGGATTAACTTCATCTGCTGGCGATTCATTTCTTTATATGCTCGTGATTCGCTTCATCTCGTCGAGATTGATTTCTTTTTATCGCGGTTCACTTCTACACGGCGATTCCTTGTACTCGCGATTCACGACATCTACTTAGTGACAAGGTTAGTTTGTTTTCGTGGTTTCTTCTATTCAACTTTTTGGTGTCTTCTCACTTGATTTTTGTAGAAATAGGTTTGCAATTGAAGATTTGATGATTTACAATTGGGGTTTCAGATAGTTATCTGACGCTCAAATTGATTTGGGGTTTCAATATCAACACTCTGACTTTTTGTACCGTTTATTGCAATATTTTTCTTGAGAGTCATTGTATCGTAGTTTTCTTCAAAGCTATATTTGGTTTGTTGATGCTTATTATAGATATGTTTGATGAAATATATGAACTTTGTGTCTATGGCGTGCTTAGATAGATTGTGATGTGTTATTATTTGTTTGTTATTTTCTTCTTATAACGTGGTCTAAGGCTTGTGAAGTGATGTTCATTGCAATATTTTTCTTGAGAATCATTGTATTGTAGTTTTCTTCAAAGCTATATTTGGCTTGTTGCTGCTTATTGTAGATATGGTTGATGAAATAGATGAACGTTGTCTCCATGGCTTGCTTAGATAGATTGTGATATGTTCGAATCTGTGTGTTTCTTTCTTCTTATAATATGGTATAACGCTTTTGAAGTGATGTTCATGTCATGTTGCTAAAGAATCATTTCTTATCTCTTGCCCACTACTACTATTTTTCTAACTCTTCTCGACTGCTCTCGGTTGTTAAACTATTGTCATGTTGTACAAGCCACACTCTTCTCTTCTTGATTTCACATTGAATTCTTACATATTTTTACCTTTACTTGCAGCAATGGATTCCGAGTTACCTAAGAGATTGTATGAGGAAGGAGCCGAACCACTAGGTGATAAGATAAACAAGTGTGCAAGGATGTCGATATTGACGGAGCTGGCAAAGAATATCGAGTCAGAGTACAATGAAGTTAAGAGATTGCCATTGTTTGCTCATATTATAGCCATCCATAAAAACCGGCTTCATTTCTCTGCAAAAATGATGCACACTCTACTGACAAGGCAGCTTATCACAACCAAAAAACATGAGCTCTGGTTTGTGTTTGCAAGGAGACCACTGAGATTTTCTTTGCAAGAATTTCATGCTGTGACTGGTCTGAAGTGCATAGATGATGGCAACTGCGACCTCAATACGTGGGTCGACGATGGTGGTTTCTGGAGTAGGCTGCTGAAGAACCGTGGACTGATAAGCCTGGAGACGATAAGGAAGAAACATGTCTTTGAGGCCAACAAGTGGACTCGTGTGGACAGACTGCGATTGGTTTTTGTTTGTCTTACTGCACTATTGATGGCAGTGGATGAGAAGACTTGGTTATGTCATAATTACATCAAATCATCATGGACTTTGACAAGGTACGGTCTTATCCATGGGGTCTCCGCTGCTTCGATCATTTAGTGGATGCTGTCATCAAAGCAAGAAGTGAGTTGAGTAAGCCTATCAGCTATGTACTGGAGGGATTCACATATGCTCTCCAGATTTGGATCATGGAAGCTATCCCGTATTGTGGAACTTATTGTGTAAGAAGCTCAAACCGGTGGACCATATATTCCCTAGATGTTCTAATTGGACAGGGGCTGCAAGAGCCGGTTTTGAGGACATAATAAAATTGGAGAAAGCGCTTGTAAATCAGGTCAGTCATCCTCTTTCTCCTCACATCTAGTTTCTCATGGATTCACATCTTTCACACTCTTTCTCATATGCGAGTATGTAATTTAACATCTTTTACATTGTCTTGTAGGGTGTTGTATACTCTTACATCTCGTCAACAAGGAATATGAATGTGATCGACTCCCAGGAATTTGAAAGGAGTGACGAAATGAGAGATGAAAGGGTTGATTGGATGAAAAAGCTCATCAGCGAGAATCACAACTAGAGTTCTCGTATGTGGGAATTTGAAGAACCGGTGAAAACAACGCCTGCTCCGGTGGTTCCTTCTGCAGGGACAAATTCCGAGGTTGTCCACAACGACGGTGTTGAGAGCGGTGAGGTCTTCAAAACGCCATGCGGTGAACAAACTACTTCGTCTGGATCGAGGACTAGAAAGAGGAAGGTGATTGACAAAGGCGCTGAGGCACGCAAGAAGCGACTGCTGTTTGAGCGATCGATTGCTAATGCTGAACAAGGGAGTCAGAGTTTTATGCGAGGTCTCCTTGAAGACTACGAGAAGAGACTGACGAAGCAGAGTGACGAAAAGTATGAGAAGTTTGTGTGTCTAATGTATTGTCGGATGATGCTTGTTGTAATAACTTTGTGTGTCTAATGTATTGTCGGATGATGCTTGTTGTAATAACTTTGTGTTGTTTGCCTGATTTTATATATTGTGTCAAGGCTAATAACCTAACTGATATTTTTGCTCCTTCAACAAAAAAGGAATACTTTGATGTATCATTAGACAAACTGGTTGATATTGACTTAACCCAAAGCTCAGACATCAATTTCGGTGAGAATACTGATAGAAGGAACTTAGGGATTGAGCTGAATAGTACGTTTGTATTGAAATTTGTATGCAATTACATGTAACGATCACACTCTCATAACGAGTAGATCACTGATCTCATGGCGATCAGCTAAGCACAGGAGCTTAGAATTACAAGTTAAAGCATAAAAGAAATGTGAAACGGAGAAGACGATCTTTATACAAGTATTTTATCAGTTGTAAACTTGAAACCGCAAACCCTCTCTTTTGATTAGAGGTTTGCCTTCTTCTTAGAATTAATGAAACCCTCCACTTCAATTAGAAGCTTCCCTGTTTCTGCATCTTCTTCACTTAGTGCTTCGAGAGGTCTTCTTCTCTTCCTATAGTAGGTGTTGTGTATCCTATCAATACCCTCCCCTTTGAAAACGAGCTTGTCCTCAAGCTTGTCATTAGGAAATTGCTTGAACAACTCCGCTGAAGCGACCCAAGTGCTCTCATGGTCAGGTTGATTCTTCCACTTAATCAACAGCTCCACACAGCCTGTTGGGGAGAAACGCTTCGCCAACACCTCCTCCGGCACTAAGTCCACAGTTCGTAAATCTGTGACAGCGACAGGTAAAGGTTGAAGCCGCTGTTCAGAACCAAGTGCCTGTCTCAACTGCGAGACATGAAAGACGGGATGGATTTTAGATCCCTCTGGTAAATTCAACCTATACGCCACCTTCCCTACTTTCTCCAATACTTCATACGGACCAAAAAAACGCGCTGCTAGCTTCGGGCACAAACGTTTCACCACAGATTGTTGACGATACGGCTTAAGTTTAAGAAAAACCTTATCACCAACAGCAAAATTCACATCACGGCGATGCTTATTTGCAGAATCCCTCATCAATTGCTGCGCTCTCTGCAACTGTAGCTTGATCTCATACAACATAACATCACGCTCTTTAAGCAACTCCTCTAGTTCAAAGTTCGAAGTCGATCCATTCTCATACTTCAGAAGGCTCGGTGGTTCACGGCCATAGAGAACCCTAAAGGGAGACGTCTTCAAGGAAGTGTGGTAAGATGTATTGTACCAAAGCTCTGCCCACATCAAGAATTTGAACCAAGTCTTCGGATGACCAGAGGCGAAACAACGTAGATACGTTTCAAGACAACGGTTGAGTACCTCCGTTTGGCCGTCGGTCTGGGGGTGAAAAGCAGTACTGTAATTCAACGTCGTACCCTCAAGACGAAACAACTCCTTCCAAAACTTGCTCAGAAAAATCTTATCTCTGTCAGAAACGATAGACCTCGGAAAACCATGAAGCTTCACAACCTCGGACAAGAAACGCTGAGCTACATCGACAGCCGAGAAAGGGTGTCTCAGGCCGATGAAATGGCTGTATTTACTCAGGCGGTCTACTACTACAAATATCACGTTATACCCTCCTGAAACTGGTAAGCCCTCTACAAAATCCATACATATATCCTCCCAAACCGAGTTAGGAACAGGTAAAGGCTGAAGCAGACCAGCTGGTGAGAGAGTCGAGTATTTGTACTGTTGGCATATCACACATTCAGAAACATAATTCTGCACCGTCTTGTACATCCCTTGCCACTGAAAGGCCAACTGAATTCGCTTCACAGTCTTCAAAACTCCTGAATGACCTCCCATCTGACTATCATGACACTGTTTGATAATGATCGGAATGAAAGCAGAGTCCTTAGGAATCACCAAGCGACGTTTGTACCATAGAAGACCGTTGATAACCTCATAAGAAGAAGAACCAGGATTCATCTTTGTTTGCTCGCTGAGTGACTGAATGTGCTTATCCACCTCAATTTCACGATACAAATCCTGTAGTTGCAGCACCTCTGGAACCGTCAATGATAAAAACGTAGTACTGATCAAAGCAGATGTAGTCGGAATCCGGGATAAGCCATCGGCTGCCTTGTTTTCACAACCAGGTTTATATATTATGTCAAAGTCAAATCCCAATAACTTTGTAAGCCATCTCTGATACTCCAAATTAACCTCCTTCTGTTCCAATAAGTACTTGAGGCTCCGTTGATCAGTGTGAACTTCAAATTTCCTGCCTACTAGGTAATGCTTCCATTTCATCACTGCCATAACAATAGCCATAAGTTCTCGTTCATAAGCTGGTTTCAACTGCTCTCGAGGTGTAAAGCCATGACTGAAGAAGGCAATCGGTCGCTTATCTTGCATCAGAACAGCCCCTACTCCAAACCCCGAAGCATTGTCTCTAACACAAAAACCTTCTCAAAATCTGGCATCGCTAAAACTGGTGCAGAAGACATAGCATTCTTTAGCTGTAGAAAAGCAGCTTGTGCCTCAGAAGGCCATCCAAACTTATCTTTCTTGAGTAGCTCTGTTAAAGGTCTCGCAATAACTCCATAATTCCTCACAAACTTCCTGTAATATCCTGTGAGACCCAAAAAGCCACGTAGTTCTTTCACATTCTGCAGTGTAGGCCATTGTAACATCGCCGACGTCTTAGTCGCATCAGTCGCTACTCCGTCCTGTGAAATGATGTGACCAAGATATTCCACCTGAGGTAAGCCAAAGACACACTTCTTCTTGTTTGCCAATAACGACTGCTCCTCAAAAACCTTCATCACTTGTCTGAGATGTTCCACATGTTCTTCAACACTTCAGCTATATATGAGAACATCATCAAAGAAGACGAGAACAAACTTTCGCAGAAACGGTTTGAAAATTTTGTTCATTAAGCCTTGAAAGGTGGCAGGCGCATTCGTTAGACCAAAAGGCATCACAAGAAATTCGTAATGACTTTCTAGCGTACGGAAGACTGTCTTATGAATGTCCCTTTCAAGCATACGAATCTGATGGTAACCTGAGCGTAAGTCCAATTTGGAGAAGATAGTCGCACCATGCAACTCATCCAACAACTGATCAATAACCGGAATCGGAAATTTATCCGGAATCGTTGCTCTGTTTAAGACGCGATAAACTATACAGAATCTCCATGCATTGTCTTTTTTTGGTACCAATAAAACTGGACTTGAGAAAGGGCTGGAGCTTGGACGAATGATCCCTGCTTCAAGCATTTCAGATACCATCGATTCCATAACAACCTTTGTGGCATGAGGATACCGATAAGGGCGTACCGAGATACTTGTAACCCGGAGCTAAGTTGATAGCGTGCTCCTGACCTCTCCTTACCTCTGAAGGGTGGTAATCCTCTTGGATCTGCAAACACATCACTGAACTGATCCAATAGGTTGCTAACGGGTCCCGGAACTACTTGGAGACTGACGAGTGTCAAACCACTAAGCACCAGAGGTGCTTCTCTTCCCTTGGTGTTAGCGGGTAAGGCACTCAAGGTCTTGAACGATAGCTTAGGGGAATGTAAAGAAGGGTCGCCTATCAATGTTACCTTTTTGCCATGGTGAACAAACGATAGCTCCTGCTTCTTCCAATCTACTTCGCATTTCCCTAGCGTTTCAAGCCATTGAACCCCTAAGATGACATCCACGGCTCCTAGTTCTAATTCAATGAAGTCAGTTTTGAAATCGACTCCTACGAGATTGAAAGTGACAGCACGGCAAACTCCATCTCCTTTAACCGTGATTCCATTGCCTAGTAATATATCTAGGTCTTTGTCACCAGTTATCTTGAGCTTTAGTCGCTTCACAATCTCGGGTGAAATAAAGTTGTGGGAAGCCCCACTGTCCAGCATCACAATCACTCTGGACTTGCAAATCTTTCCATATAATTTTTGAGTTTTGGGAGAGTGTTTACCCAAAAAAGAGTTGAGCGAAAGAGTCCTCACTTCATGGACAACCATCAACTGATCATTACCATCCAACACTTCCTCTGCTTCTCCTTAAACCTCCATTTCCAAGCCATTAATGACTGTCAAAACTCTGTATTCTTTCATCGGGCACACCGGTGGATGATCCTTTGACCACTGCCCTTTACACTGAAAACAAATCTTATCTCTTCTCATCTGATCCAATTCTGCATCTGTACGCCGCTGTCTCGGTCGTAACTGTGTATGCGTTGTCTCATTCTCCTTGTTATGTGGTTTGTTCTGTTGTTGATTGTTCCTCGCGTCATGAGGTACCACAGTTCGTTGATGGTTCTGTGGTGGTAGTGATTTCCTTTGTTTTGCGTTGTTATCATACCCCGGTACACTGCTGACAGCTTTGCAAAACGCCCTTGATTCCATCCTCAACACTGCGGAGATGTGATGTTCCAAACCTTGTGGCTCCTTCATTCTGATCACCTCTTGCATCTCTGTGTTCAAACCATTATAGAAGATGTTAGACAAGGTGTCATCTGATAACCCTGGCACCAGTGAAGAAAGTTCCTCAAATTCTGTGATGTAGTCGTCCACTGATCCTTGCTGTTTGATTCTGAACAAGCGTTTTCCCGGATCCTCCTCAATGGATTCTGAGAATCGCAGCACCAGTTTGTCCTTGAACTCTGACCAACTGCGGAAACCTTTTCTCTGTAGCTCCCAATAGTACCACTTCCTGACTTTGCCTTCCAAACTTAAGGCCACCAAGTCCAACTTCTCTAGATCGTTGTATCCCCCAATGTAGAAGAATCGTTCTAGTTCAATAAGCCACACATACGGTTGTTTCCCACCAAAAATAGGCATCTCGAGTTTTTTCAACAAACTATCACGATTCGCAACATTCAATTGACCAGATCGATAACCTAGCGCAGAGTTTACCCGTTGTTGTTCCAGATTCGGAGAATGTACCTGCGTCGGAGTGTGAGATTGATTCGGATTCTGAGAGAAAGACGCATTCTGATGTGGATCTGCTTTTCCGAGCATCGTGATAATCGAATCCATCTTCGCCTCGAGTTTGTTGAATCGCCGATCGACCGTATCGAACCTCAAATCCATCGCATCGAGTCGTTTCCCGGTATGTTTATGAGCATCCGTCAACGAGTGAAAATGTCCGTTCAATTTGTCCACCTGAATCTGCATTTCTGAAGCGCCGTCGAAGTCGCCGCACTCGGAAGTCGTCGGAGAGATAATCCGAGCCGCCATTGCCATCGCGTTAGATTCGTCTTTTGCACACCGCACCAATGATAGAAGGAACTTAGGGATTGAGCTGAATAGTACGTTTGTATTGAGATTTGTATGCAATTACATGTAACGATCACACTCTCATAACGAGTAGATCACTGATCTCATGGCGATCAGCTAAGCACAGGAGCTTAGAATTACAAGTTAAAGCATAAAAGAAATGTGAAACGGAGAAGACGATCTTTATACAAGTATTTTATCAGTTGTAAACTTGAAACCGCAAACCCTCTTTTTTGATTAGAGGTTTGCCTTCTTCTTAGAATTAATGAAACCCTCCACTTCAATTAGAAGCTTCCCCTGTTTCTGCATCTTCTTCACTTAGTGCTTCGAGAGGTCTTCTTCTCTTCCTATAGTAGGTGTTGTGTATCCTATCAAATACACAAAGTTATCTTTGAAGAAAGCGAGGGCATCTATCACAAGACTCCTACGTACCTGGATTTGATCCATCTCAGCAATCAAAAGTGCCGTCTAAGAAATCCCAGCAGTCTTTAAAAAAAGCGAAGGTAAACAATCAAAAAAACCTCAAACCTCTTCATTGAATTTGGTTCTGTTTTCTGAGTTTGTCGTGAACCAATTTCCTTACGCTTGTGTAGGGCAAAACCACGGAAGCGGTTAAAGTAGTTAAGAAAGAGATGCTTCAGGGGAACACCTCTTACAGACACGTGAAGGTAATCTATACCTCTAAAATATTCGAGTTCCTCTCCTCATAGAAAAGTGAAGACTCGTAATGAGAAGAAGAAATTCAACGATGACACCTTCAAGTCACAAGGAAAGGTAATTAATACAAACACATGTCGAGGTCGTTTCCTCGTTGATTTTGCGTGTTTTGTTGTTTTTTTTTTTTGTTCTCGGAACAAGTTATTAGATGCTTGAATTTACTTTTCTCTATCAGACCGTGAAGGAAGACGCAGACAAGAAAGTGGTAGACAAGGAAATAGATTCCAAGGAGGAAGCAGGAGATTGGTTGCCGCGCTAACGAAACCACCACCAGGTCGACCTTTATACGATTCTTCTGATGAAGACAGGGATGAGGAAGACCCTGTGGACAGTGTTGAGCCACTAACGGAACTGCATCCGAAAGAGACCATGAGTTTGAAGGACAAGACGCCGACCAAGTTTACGGATATGGTGCTCTCTAAACCATATCAAAAAGATCCCGAGGCATATTTGGTTTATGTCTCTGATGAGCGATTCGATGAGCTTCAACAGTGGTCCTCGACGCACGTGTGTGTCACTCATATTTTACAAAATTTAGTTTATAATTTTTTTTTCTCATAAGTATAGTCTGTTGGGTAATAATTTTGAATTTCATTGTAGGCCCTTCACTGTTGGTCCCGCTGAATTCAATACAGCTCTATTACACTGTGTTGTTGGTCCTGAAGTGTGGCTGGAAAACCATGTAAGAGCCACGTTTAACTCAGCTTTTCCATCTCACATAATGCCACTGAATATCACAGCTCCTGACTGGTTGAACTTTACTTTTCAGGAAATTGATGCACTGCTTTACATTTTCCGTGAGAATACTTCATTGCAACGGTGGAATGTGGGCAGAGTTTATTTCATGAACTTCAATTTCTCATGTCAAATCAAACTGCCTACCATAAATGGAGGAGTGACAAGAAGAAGTGGGAAGTCAGCGAGTACCTCATGGCTTTTGGTAAAGGCATTTTGCTTTCTCACGGAAATACCAACAAAGTTTGGGGAGTCGACGCCGATAGTATCTACATTCCAATGTCTGTAAGCGGGAACCACTGGATATCACTGTGCATCCACTTCTCGGACAGGAGCATACACGTCTTCGACTGCAATGGTCTGAAAAGGTTCAGAAAGGTTGATGCTTTCGCCAACATGGTACTGCGCATCTTCAAGGAAGTGCAGCCGGCTGCTGCGAAGAAAAACCTAGTAATTGCACCATATTCCGTGAGGTATGTGCCTATGCGACAGGGGATTAATGAAAGTAACTGTGATTGTGGCATTTATGCGTTGAAGTTCATTGAGTGCCATGTGCTAGGACTTGACATGTTATTGTTGTATGATACTAACATTAGAGAGACTAGGTACAAGATAGCATGTGATCTAGTTGATGCGGCGAAGGATAAGGTTTTGTTAAACCGGATGTCAAGGTATATACAACCGGAGTTTGCTCCAACTGAGACTGTAGACATTAGCTGAACGTTTGTTTGGAAGGCTTTTGGATTATCAGGACGGCTTTATTAGCATGTATTCGTTGGTTCTTGACATTGCTATATGGAAACACTTTGATTTGATGGTTTTGTTATGGGAACCTTTGGTTACTTTCATTGTTACATTATGAAGATTAAGGAGACCGAATTTGTATTTTATTCTCATGGGAACCATATTATAGTTTCTTGTTGTCTTTCCTCTACAAGAATATGATCAAAAAGATATTCATGGCAAAGTAAACAGACATAACAAGTACAAACCAAAAGACAAAGCAAATAAAAAGTTGATTTCCTTCATCTTGTTCTGTTTAGCCAAAAGAAACGATTAAATGAAGAGGTTGACACGAGATCGTCTTGCCTTAAATTCATCATGTACGCTGAATTTTCTTGTCAGTGAGAACGAAACGACGCCGTTTTAACTCATACTTAAGATGAAACGACGTCGTTTCTTTTATCTTCTCCAAACCTAATTAAGTCGACAAACTTGACGAAAGCGGATAAACTTTTGAAACGGTAAATCAAGGGATCAAAGGTTCTTAGATGTCTTCTTCAGCCAGTTCGGGTAAGCAATTCGAGATTATGTTATTACAAATGGTTATATGAATATACAGACATAATCTAATGTGTGTTATGGTGAAGGAGTGAGCAACGTAACACGTCGTGGAGGTGCAGGAGGCAAAGGAATTTCCAGAAACTGTCGATCTGGAGAAAAGACTGTGATGTTAACTTCAGAAATAATTCCCAATCGCGGTAGACTGTTCTTCATATGTCCGGTTCGTTCGAAAGTGGTAATGTTCATAATCGATCATAGTATTTAATATTTTTGGTGGAGAATGGAACTTGACTTGATTTGAGTAAATTGGATTTTCGTTGTAGAATCAATACCATTTGTTCAGATGGACTGACATCCAATGGTTGAGGAGATGGAAGAAGTTGAAAGTGTGCTTGAGAGGATGGAAGAAGAGATTGTAAACCTAGCAATGAAAACGGGGACTTGTGAGGCTGTAGCAAAACGCTATGGAGATGCCGTTAAAGCTTTGAAAACACTTACAGAAGGATGCGTGAAAGAGATTGAAGAGCTTAAAGCAGCTGTCAATTGTCGTGAGAAAGAGAAACAAGAGCTTCAGTCTGGCCTGAAGTGTTGCAGAAATGTGATTGTGTGTGTTTTGGGAGTGCTTTTGTTCTTCTATTTCGCAGCAGCTTGAGTCGAGATTGAGTTAGTAATGTATTTGGTGTTTGGTCTATCTTGTATTTGGTATGTTTAACAGGAGGGTCTTTTTTTGGTCTTGTGTTTACACTTGACTTAAGGTAAAGGTGATGATAATGCATTTTCTTACAACTTGTTTAAGAAAACAGAGAACATATCAGGATAGTGGGACAAAGAGAAAACGGGAAAGTAAAAAAAAGGAGTAATGAGACAAGAGAGCCTTTATATTGGGGTAAATAGCCAATTCTCCCAAATGAGAACGTGTTTTTTCTTGGTTATACAATTTGCAAAGTTAAAAAAAACGTTTTACAAAAATTAAAGTAGCAGAGAAGACATCCGTAGTAAAAAAATAAGAAATTGGAGTGAGTATTGCAGATCCAACGCAACTGCATGTCTTCATCTCATAGATTTTCTCACAAAATCGTTTTCCATTTTCCATGGATGTTGGAGTGGCTGAAAGTTGACTGTTGATTTTTTCAAATCTCAGTGTTTAAAAAGTATTATTTTGGCCGATAGTATAATTTTATCATTGTTATTAGGGTTTTGTGCAAAAAAAAAACAATGCAATTAAATTAAATTTGCAAATCTAAGCCTCAACTTATTATATATATCAAATCTACGAATTCAAAAGTCACCCGCTAAACGGCCTTCGGTCGACGTGGCCGTTTCTGTACCTTTCAAAAACAACAAACGCTGCGTTTCGGGCAAAGAAACGGAACGCAATTTAATAATTCAACGGCGTTTTCGGACAACAAGCAAAACACGTTTAAGTGAATTGTCGGGATTTTTAGGTCTCATAAAACGAAAAATCGATTAGGGAAAAGCTCCGATTAGGGTTCTTGGCGATTGGAGAATTTCTGTGTTCACTCAATCGAAGCTGAAATCGACTTTGTCTAGGTCGGCGTCGGTGACAGAGTTTCGTTATGAGCTCGAGATGAGATAAATTCGTTTGTCTCACTTAGTTTACCTCTCTCTCTGTAATTGAATATCGAGTACTAATCTTCGAAACCATTAGTTGGGTATGGGGTTGTTTGAATTGACGATTTCAATAGGATTTCAATTTGTTATTTACTGATTAGTTGGGTCAATGTCTGAAGTTTACATTATGTTTTGCAAATCTATTTGTGTTGGTTTCGTTATGTTTCTAAACATCTGCCTGACATGGAGCATTTGTCAATTTAGGTAGATTACTATTGGGTAGTAATTGTTTGTGGCCATATGCTATCGTGAATCTGGTGCATTTGTCAATTTAGGTAGATTGCCATTGAAGGTTTGCTTAAGTGAAAAATATAGGAAGATTACTTATCTTATATTATTGGTAGGTTCTCCTATGCGCAGAAGTAGTTTGAATCTGTTTATGGCTCTATAATGCACTTTTACCAAAACCATTTGTTGTTTAAAGAATTAGTTACACTGGAAATGTTGTCTAAGTTTCTTTTATTACAATGCAGTTTTGAATTGTTTATGTTTACTAGGCTATAACATCCCAGTTTGTCAAAAGTGGGCCCAAATTTTATGTTGTTTCTTAGGCCCATTTAAGGCCATTTTCTTCCCAATTTGTAAGTGTGCAAGTCTCGTGGAAGAAAAACCCTTGTCTCTCCACTGGCGCCGTCAAGAGAAGAGAAAAGGAAGCGAGAAAAGAGAAGAAGGAGAAGAGAGAGAAACCAGAGAGAAAGGAAAAAAAAGAAGAGAAGAGAGAGAAGTGGAAAACCAGAAGTGAGAGAGAAGCGTGAAGAAGAAGGAGAAGAGGGAAAGATAAGACTTACATGCCATGACGGACTCAACGTCGGTGACCACCGGTCATCACCGACGGCCACCACCAAGAGCCGGGCACCACCGGAGGTCACATCCCTCACCGTCGGAGCTTTCGATATGCCGCCGCAAGCTCAAGCCGTGAAGATTAAGAGTGCACCTCTGTGTTTCTTGCGCAGCAAGCAACCCATCTCCACCATTGACAATGTCACCTCCGTTTCATTTCCGATCAGCTTTTACGCTAAGGTGAGGATGAATCTTCACCGTTCCTTAATATGCGTTATTCTATATTATTTAACGCTAAAACTTGGTTTAAACTAAGCATAACCTTGTTTGTTGCTAGTGAACCCTAGTATTGTTGTTTTAAGAACCCATATTATGTTATATAATTATTTAATTAATTAATTATATTTTATTGGGTGATTTTAAAATGTTTATTCTTAAGAAATTGTGTGATATATTCTTGTTATTAATAAATATTATATTTATTTATTATTATATATTAATATTTATATAGTATTATATAAATATTTGTGGAATGTGAAGTGATCTCTTTATTGTTGAGTGTTGAAGAACATGTATCGAATATAAATTAATTAATGATCGGACATGGTATTTAAATTGGTTGAGTGTTAAAAAGATCATTGTTTGAATGTGGTGTGTGATGGTTAATATATATATATATATATATAAAAATAAAAGTGTTTATATATAAAGTTATATACGTTAGACGTTTGGTGATAAGCGTGTTAGTTAGTGGCGGTTTAAAGGTACCATGCAACACAAGTAAGGTGGAGGGATTGTGGAAGGCGTGAGACGCTCCATAGTGGATCCTCTTGCTTGGTGTTGGTGTTTGCTGGATGTGGGGTAGATAAAGGTTGCTCTTACCCCAATCCATCGTCGATGGCTCCCCAATCCATCGTCGATGGCTTGACGAGTCAGGCGTCTTGAAAGAGAGGCGGACAGCGATGTGGCGCTTTGTACCACTGGGGTGTGCGCAGTGATGCGCGGATACATCAAGGGTGTTGAGTTACTGGAGCAAGATACTACGGGGTGCTGTGCCGGTATTTGGTAGTTTCACACGTGGTTGATGGTTAAGAGGAATTGATTGATTGTGATTGCACCATACCATCCCATTATTGTTCACCATTGTTTGCATTCCACCTCATATATATCATTTACATCATTTCATTCATCACATCACCCTAAAATCCTATCATCAGTTTCTCTGAACGCAATGATCTAGGAGAGACAGATAATCAAAAGGTGGCTAGATACATCAGTGGTTTAAGAAGCTCTATACAAGAGAGATTTGGTTTGCAGACCGTATGGACTGTGCAAGAGGCTTCTAGTTTAGCTTTGAAGGCTGAGCTAATGGAGAAGTCAACTCGCAGTTTTTCTTCATTCAAGAGGTTTACACCTCAGAATAACTACGAGGCCGCAAACGAAAAGGAAAAGAATGTTGTAAGCAAAGATCCCAGGAAATAAAGGAGCTAGTAGTTCTACCACTACTCAGCAGAGTAAAGCACCAGCTCAAAGGCAGAATAATCCTTATGCTAAACCATCTCTTGATAAGTGTTATCGTTGCCAAGGACAAGGTCACAAATCAAATGTTTGTCCAAGCAGAAGAACTGTTGCTTTGCTAGGAGAAGAAGAAGACGAAGAACAAGAGTTTAATGAGGATGATGAATATGAAGGGGTTGAGTTTGCTGAAGAGGAGTCACATGAGAAGATAAACATTGTGCTTCAGAGAATCTTATTATCATCTAAGGACGAAGGACAACGCAAGAATTTGTTTAGAACACACTGCTCAATACAGAACAAAGTGTGTAATGTGATTGTGGATAATGGAAGCACAGAGAATTTGGTTTCTCAAAAGCTGGTTGATTTTCTGAAGTTGCCAACAAAAGAACATGAGAACCCTTATCCTCTTGGGTGGATAAAGAAGGGCTCACAAGTTCGAGTCACAATGACTTGCAAAGTTCCCATCTCCATTGGGAAACACTACAAGGAAGAGGTAATTTGTGATGTTCTTGACATGGATGTTTGTCATGTTTTGTTTGGTCGACCTTGGCAATATGATAAAGATATCACATATCGAGGACGAGATAATGTGATATTGTTCACTTGGGGAATACATAAAATTGCTATGGCTCCTGTTTTGGATTTTGATAAAAGCGCAGGAAAAAAGAAGACCAATTTCTTGGTAATGACACATAGTGAAAAGGAGCTAGACGAAGCTTTCAAAGAAACTAAATGTTTATTCCCTGTGGTAGTTAAAGGGTTAATGAGTGTGGTGAATGGGGAAGCAACAACTCCAGAAGAAGTGTTAGAGATTCTAGAAGATTTCAAGGAGTTGACTGCAGATGAATTGCCAAATTACCTGCCTCCTATGCGAGATATTCAACATCATATTGACTTGATTCCAGGTTCTAGCTTACCAAACCTTCCTCACTATCGTATGAGTCCGAAGGAGAATGAGATTTTAAGGGAACAGATTGAAGATTTGCTGAAGAAAGGGTTTATTCGAGAAAGTATGAGCCCATGCGCAGTGCCAGTCCTTCTTGTTCCTAAGAAAGGCAACCAATGGCGAATGTGTGTTGATAGTAGAGCTATTAACAAGATAACCATCAAGTATCGATTTCCTATCCCTCGACTAGAAGATATGCTTGATGAGTTGGCGGGTTCTAAGATATTTTCAAAGATAGATCTTCGTAGTGGATATCATCAAATTCGAATCAGGCCTGGAGATGAATGGAAGACAGCTTTTAAGAGCAAAGATGGATTGTATGAATGGTTGGTGATGCCTTTTGGTTTGTCAAATGCTCCTAGCACTTTCATGAGATTGATGAACCAGATTCTTCGACCATTCTCTGGTTCTTTTGTGGTTGTTTACTTTGATGATATTTTAATTTACAGCAAGACCAAAGAAGAGCACTTGGATCATTTGAAGCAGGTTTTGCAAGTCTTACAAGAAAACCAGTTGTACGTTAATCTGAAGAAGTGTACATTTTGTACCAACAAGCTGGTATTTCTAGGATTTGTTGTTGGTGAAGAAGGGATTCAGGTTGATGAGGAGAAAGTGAGAGCTATTAGGGATTGGCCTGCCCCTAAATCAGTCACTGAGGTACGTAGCTTTCATGGTCTAACTACCTTCTATAGGAGATTTGTTAGAGATTTTAGTACCATTACTGCTCCTATTACTGAGTGTTTGAAGAAAGGGAAATTCTTTTGGGGGTCTGAACAAGACAAGAGTTTTGCTTTAATTAAGGAGAAGCTATGTACTGCACCAGTCTTAGCATTGCCTGATTTTGATAAAGTGTTCCAAGTTGAATGTGATGCTAGTGGAGTTGGAATAGGTGCTGTCTTATCTCAAGAGAAAAGACCAGTAGCTTTCTTTAGTGAGAAGTTAAGTGAAGCTCGCCAAAGATGGAGTACTTATGATCAAGAGTTTTATGCAGTATTTAGAGCTCTAAGGCAGTGGGAGCATTACTTGATTCAGAGAGAGTTTATCTTGTTCACTGACCACCAAGCTCTGAAGTTCCTTCATAGTCAGAAAGTGATAAACAAGATGCATGCTCGATGGGTAAGCTTTCTGCAAAAATTTCCATTCATTATTCAGCATAAGTCTGGGACTCTCAATAAGGTAGCAGATGCTTTGAGTAGAAGAGCTTCCTTACTCATTACCTTGGCACATGAGATTGTGGGTTTTGAGTTACTAAAGGAGTTGTATGAAAGTGATGCTGAATTCAAAGAATTGTGGGATAAGTGCAATGGTAAGCATCCTTCTGCAGATTTCCATATTCGAGATGGCTTTCTTTTCAAAGGAGATAGGTTGTGCATCCCTTGCTCATCGTTAAGAGAGAAGTTGATTCGAGATTTACATGGTGGTGGTCTTAGTGGTCATTTGGGGAGAGACAAGACTATTGCTAGCTTGGAGGAAAGGTATTATTGGCCGCATCTAAGGAGAGATGCTGGTGCTATTGTCAAAAGGTGTTATATCTGCCAGACTTCTAAGGGTCAATCTCAAAATACTGGTCTTTATATGCCTTTACCTGTTCCTGATGATATTTGGCAAGATTTGTCTATGGACTTTGTGTTGGGATTACCTCGTACACAACGAGGTGTAGACTCTGTATTTGTGGTTGTAGACAGATTCTCCAAAATGACGCATTTTATCGCTTGCAAGAAGACTGCAGATGCATCCAACATAGCCAAATTGTTCTTCAGAGAGGTCGTCCGTCTCCATGGAGTTCCCAAAACTATAATTTCAGATAGAGATACCAAGTTTCTCAGTCATTTTTGGATTACTCTTTGGCGAATGTTTGGAACAACATTGAAGAGGAGTTCCACAGCTCATCCACAAACTGATGGGCAAACTGAGGTAACTAACAGAACTTTGGGGAACATGATTCGAAGTGTTTGTGGTGACAGGCCCAAACAGTGGGATTTAGCTTTACCTCAGGTGGAATTTGCTTACAACAGCGCAATGCATTCAGCTACAGGGAAATCACCTTTCTCTTTGGTCTATACTTCTGTTCCTAAGCATGTGGTTGATTTGGTAAAGTTGCCTAAATGTCCTGGAGTTAGTGTATCAGCTGAGACTATGGCTGAAGAGATTATGGCTACTAAGGAAGCTGTCAAGGCTAAGTTAGAGGCTACCGGACAAAAGAACAAAGTTGCTGCAGATAAACGGAGGAGAGTCAAAGTCTTCAAAGAAGGTGATGAGGTTATGGTGTTTCTTCGTAAGGAAAGGTTCCCAGTTGGCACATATCGCAAGCTGCAACCTCACAAATATGGTCCATTCAAGGTGTTGCGCAAGATCAATGATAACGCTTATGTTGTGGATCTTCCAGAGAATATGAACATTTCTAATACCTTCAATGTGGCTGACATTCATGAGTACCATGCAGATGGAGTTCTTTATCCAGAAGAAAACTCGAGGTCGAGTTCTTCAGAGGTGGAGGAGACTGATGTAGGAGAAGTTTAAGAGAGTTTCCTTATTTTCCTTATTTTTCTTTTTGAGATTTTCCTAATCTTCCTTTTCCTTTAATTATGTTTTTCCTTTTTAGTTTTGGATATTCAAGGGTTTTGTTTTCTTATATAAACACCTATAAGTTGTAGCCATAAGGGATATCTTATTATTCTAATTAATCAAAGCAGAGAGCTTTTCTCTAATCTGGTGGATTTCCAGAGTTTTCTCTTCAAGTTCACGAATTCAATCTAGGTTTAGTGCTTGCTATTCCTAGGGTTTTCCGACTATGTCACTTTGCTCCTCAACAGTTGCTATCAACGCACTATGGATGCAAACATACATAGGAGGAGTGTCGTGCCCGTATGTATGTTCAAAGAGCCGAGACCACGGAGTGCTCTTGGTTGGGTTTGGATCATCGGGTTATGCACCAATCCGTCGTAAGGAGAAGCCTTATTGGATCATAAAGAACTCATGGGGGAAAAATGTGGGGTGAGCAAAGTTACTACAAGATCTGCAGAGGACGTCACAAAATTTGTGGTATGGAAACAAATAGTATCTACTATTCCTCCTGCTGTTCACACTACTGGGTTTTACCTCTTCTTGTAAATATATATAATGAGAGAATAACTCTCTCCAGTTGAGTGACACCTGGCATCTCTTCATCAAAAAAAAAAAAACACAAATGTTTTTAACTCTTCATCTTTAAGGCTGAGCATGAATCGGGTACCCGGGACTTTTGCCTTACCCACGACCGACCCGCCTTAACCAAGTATAAAACATAAATTTTTAATTTTGTTTTGGGCTTAGAATTCTATTCCCAAAAGTAATGGGCATTAGAATTTAGTCCAATATAGTGCAAATGAAAGGAAGTCACATTTCCTATTTATAAAGAAAAAGTTAGCTTCTATTGTGTGTATGTTTCGATGTGGGACAAAATAAAAAAAAGGAAGGAATACAGATTTTTGTCCCACATCGTTTGTATCATTAACAGAAAGTTTCAATCACTACTATAAATATACATCTTTAAAAACAAGTCGTATCATGTTTTCAAATCTTTGAATAAATAGAAAAAAAAAAAAAATTATTTGTTTAAAGAACTGAACGGGACCCACATTCCAAAGACAAAGAACACAAAGGCGGACAAAAATTCAGTTCCACCGGTTTTGCTTCCCGAACCGTTTTAGAAACTTAGGCTGTTGTAAAAAAAAAGAAAAAAAAAAGAAAAAAGAATTGAACGGGTCACTCTCACGGGTCAAATAGTTAAATTTTTTATCTACTTGGTGTTAGCTTTGATGGGTTCTTGTGTTTTAGTGATGCTGATCAAAGGTGAAGACGTTTATTTAATGAATCAAAATTATGGTGAAATCTGGGTCTGTCGTTAAGCAGGAAGAAGACAACAGCTACGACAACGTCACTCAAAATTTTGCAAATTGTATCAGAGTGACGGAAGCAAGTTTGCAAATTTTCTGGATCTGGGGAGACGGAACGAAGAGGGAAGAAGAATGGTAGAACTCGAGGAAGATGAAACGTTCTTGACTTCAATGCAAATTACGTAAAACAAATTTTTTTTGACCTTTTTTTTCTTAAGTGGACAGGTGTTCTTCTCTTAAATTCCAGAATTTGTTGTTATTGGTTATTGGTGGAATATCCACCGTTGGTCTACCGATGTAGCCGGACTTGTGATGTTCGACGTCCATATCTACGTGGCAAAGACACGAGAGAGTTTTTTGGTTTCTTCTGTACTTTTGTTCTTTGCTTATTTGGAGAGAGATAAGTGTAAGATAAATTAGATGCACATTGTCTGTTATACAATGTATCTAATTTATGGAAATGCCATTGTAATATATGAAGATGACGCCATAAGTAAAAATGTATTAACTATATGATGTTACATTAGAACGTTTTATAATGCTTATACAATAATCATACATAGCTCATATTTCAACTTTTATATTCTTATTTTTCATTCAATTTGGATGCAAGTAATATGAGATCCGATTGAAATTGACCAGAAAATATCTTTTTGAAAAATTATATTAGAAATCTTATTAAAAAATATATTTATAATGTCAATAATAATCCATAATTCGGATAATATGGGGTATCTGATTTCATTCAGCTATTACCTAATTTCCATGGGTATCAAATATTTATTTAATGAGTGATTTACTATATACCTAAAATCAATTGGGTAAGAGTATTTTGGGTCTGTATGGTTCAAATTTTTGGTATAGGTTAAAAGTCTTAGGCAAGAAGCAATATACATTTATATTTCTACCGCGTTAACATATTTGAAAAAATATAAGAGAAAATATTTACAAAATTTAAATGACAATTAAAATATAAGTAACAAAACTTTGTAATAGTCACAATCCGTGCATCGCGCGGGCTTAACCCTAGTAGATGTATAATAAGTTTATAACCATCCTATGGACCGTTATTGTTAGTATAATAGTATTATTGTACCTTTGTTTCAGTTTTAATGTAAAATAACTTGTGGTATGTTATCTTTGTATCATTGAATGCTATTATCAACATATTAAAAGTTGTAATAATAGAATTTTCTATATTATGTTTGAAGTTTGTGAGTGATACTACGCATACATATTTGTCAATAGATTGACTTATTCCAAGGATAACAAATATCAAACAACTTGCTTTGATCGTTAAACCTACAAGGACCGGTTTGTCTTATCTTCCACAGACACTTTTGGCACCAGGTGTCTCCTGAAGTATCTCGGTGGTCTTTAAATATGTCGAACCATTGCCGTCCATTTGGCAGCTCAAAACTACAATAGAACAATGACCTTCCAAAGAATTGACGCCTAAATCTGAACAACCACGACTCACCTGGTCCCAAGCTTGCGTTACCAAAATCATCGTCTTTTGATTTACAATGATATGGCAACACTTTGTTACCGAGATCGTTGATGATTTGCACAGTTATTTTTGCGAAAGGATTAAACAGAGAGTTTGTTGAAGATTGATGGTTTGGAACTGAAATGTTGTTGTTTAGGTAGGCATTTGATGATTTTGTAGTTATGAAGATAATCAATAGTTCAATACGAAAAGTGATAGGTATTTTTTTGGAGTATCCATTTTTTGGTATAGGAGAGACTGAGAGTGTTTAAGCTAACACGATGTTGTTAAATGACTTATATAATGCATTGTAATGCAGTTTCAACTTTCTAAGATGAATGTTTACTCAATTCCATGAATATTACATCGGAATATTCTTCTTTCATTTAGGATATCTTTATAGTCAAACTTTAAGTTTTTTATTTTATTTTTGTGTGGTCAAACTTAGTTACGTATTAAAGGAAATGAACGTTAATTTATGTCACAAAAAGAAAAGAAACGTTGAATTATGATGGACTGATGACCAGAAATATATGTTAGGAGAGATGACATAGACGGTAGAAAAATAAATAAGAGGTGTCACCGTGTCGCTGCGGGTGTTTCCGATCCCTGAGAAAACACTGCGGCAATTAAAGTAGTTGCTGCGGCAGTTAAAGTGGTCGGTGGTGTTACTCTCCATATACTTGGAGAAAAAGATAACGTATAATTGTTGCCGCAATCGCAGACGCAGCGATTGTAAGAAGAACAACGCAGAGTGATACAGGTATGTCAATTCGCAATCGATCACAAAATGATTAGTTTTTTTTCTCGATTTGTTACTATCTGCAGGAAGTTATTTTCATATGCATGTGTCTGTATAGTATGATTAACCGCGAAAATATCCTTATTACACAGAGAAAAAAAAATGGTCTATAGATTATAGTTAGAATGATATGTTTACCTCTTGAACGTTTTTTTATTCCAATCTCTGCATAGAGCTCGATTAGATTTCGTTACTACTACTAAGCATATGAAATGATTTGAATTTTTAGAAACAAACCAAAATTAATGGGAAAATGAATATATTGTATACTTCTATAAACCAATACTCGATAAATTAATAAAAACTATAAAATAATAAAATTATACAGTCTAAAGTAGGACCAATGTAATTTTGATAAGATAATTTTTTTTTTAAAAACAACAATGTAAATAATGTATAAAAATAATCCTTTAAATATCTTATATTATTAAACATAGGGAGTATTAATGTAAATATTTTTTTCTTTTTAATATTAAAGTTAAGTTTTATCATTAATGTACTTTATATTTTTTTCTATGTTGGGATCCAAAATGCTTTCTAAACTTAAAGAATAATCCAACAAGGTTTTGCATCAGGTACACTTTCAAAAGTATTTTAAATTTAAAGCGTGGCTAGGGTACACATTAATGTATTATTCATAAAATAATACTTTAATAAAATAAATTAAAATTCATGAAATTTCCTTTAAATATATTTATTAAAATAATTTACATTCTAAATATAATATAGATATAGTAAATATAAATAAATATCAACACATATTCAATATTTTTATCTTATATATAATTAGGGAGTTGCTCTCTCCATCTAGAGTGTCCACATCAGCACAAAAACTTTAAATTGTATTTAAAATATTTATTAAATATATGACTATTCATATTTCTTTGCATTTATTCATATTTAATAAAAATACACAAATAAATTAATTAATTAATAGAAAGTATGTGATAATTTGATGTCAAAAGTTATCAAAAAGTTGAAATATAAAATAGAAATGAGTAAAGAAATATTTAACTTCAAATAGTATATATTTACCTTTTTATTCAAAGGATTATCCTATTTAAAGATGTTATAATTTGTTTACAAGTTAAAAAGTTGAATATAAATTAATTAAGATAATAGAAAGCTCATGAAAAACTAGAGTTAGAGTTTGTTTTTCTAAACAAATAGAAATGTAGTATTATATGTAAATAAACAAGAATATGTTTACAAATTTTAACCTTCAGTCAAATGCATATACATATTTATAAATTTTAACCTTCAATCAAATACATATACATGTTTACAGTCTAATAGAAAAAAAAAGTAAACAAACATAATAATTATAACATGATAAAATTTTAAAAATAGAAAACTCAAGATAAAGCAGGATGTTAATATCCTAATAATTTTTTTTAAAAAAATATATTTTTTTAGTTAACTCAAAACATAACAAAAACATGAAATTTAACACAAAACCATCATAATTCAAATCAAATAGTATAAATAAAATTAAACAGAAAAACTATCACAAACAACCCCGCGCTTGCGCGGGCTTCAAACCTAGTTTATGTAATTTTAGAGTATATAATTATTCACAGCTCTGCAAATGAATTAAAAATATATATTAACCAGAAGTAGTACTACTAATGCTCTAGTATTATTCATACCAATCAAACCGTATAGACGCCCCGACGGCAGAGACGTGATTCACAATGGTCCAGAATACACGTTGGAGAGCGGAGAACCCGCTGTCGCAAGTGGCATTCAAGTTAGGAAGGTCAAGAGGGGGACAATCGGGAAACAAATGGAATACCTTAGAGAATTTTCCCCAATATCAAATTCCTATCTCGAACAAACTTGAGGAGTTGGAATCAGATACAGATTTGGCAGGATCCGGAGATGTGGAAGATTTGGGAGAGGTGGATAAGGAAAATATTAACAGTCAGAATATTCAAGGAGGCGAGGAACGTACGGAACAAGTTATTTTTGAGAGCGAAAGAGGGAAACCAGTGAAAAGGAAAATTGCGAAAAAAAGTGGGCCGAAGAAGCGATGGGCTGGGAAGTCACGAGTTAGTGTGGCCCAGGAGCAGAATGTTCAGAAGGGGCCGAATTGGCACATGCGAGGATTGATCTTTACCTTGACTCGGGCAGAAGTCGAAAGATCAGAGTCCGGTAAGAGGCTTCGAGTCGAATTTAGCAGTGAAAGGAGATCAGGTGGGGTGTTCGTTGACAGAGCAGAGGGAGAATACGCCAGCTATGGAACACCGCCCGAGCAAGCAGAGTGAATCCCCAGAGAACATGGTGGAGGGAAAGGCATCTGAGGTCATGACAGGACAAGAGATTGCACCGGTGGTAGGGGCGGATTGGACGCAATTCTAACATGGAGCCCCACTGTTCCAGTTGACGATGAATATTGAGATGATGAATTGCTTACTGTGGAATTGTTGGGGGATAGCAATCCACAATCCAAAGCACGGGGAAGTATAAGTCGCCTGGACCAGATGGCTATCAACCAGTATTTTACCACGAGAGTTGGGACGTCGTTGGAGACTTTGTGTCTCGTTTTGTGCTTGATTTTTTTCAGAACAGGGAGCTTACCACCTGGGACCAATGACGCGATTGTCTTGCTTATTGCCAAGGTGTTGAAACCAGAGAAGATCACACAGTTTAGACCAATAAGCTTGTGCACCGTCCTGTTTAAGACCATCACGAAGGCGATGGTGATGAGGCTTAAGCGAATCATGCTGAAACTTATTGGTCCAGCTCAAGCGAGTTTTATTCCGGGGAGATTGAGCATAGATAATATCGTTTTAGTCCAAGAGGCAGTGCACTCAATGCGGCGGAAGAAAGGAAGGAAGGGTTGGATGCTCCTTAAACTAAATTTGGAGAAGGCGTCTGATCGCATCTGTTGGTACTTCTTGGAGGATACTCTTCAGGCAGCACGACTCCCAGCAAGTTGGATAACATGGATCATGCAGTGGGTAACAGGTCCAGACATGACTGTCCTATGGAATGATGAGAGAACTAAAGCCTTTACTCCCAAGAGAGGGTTAAGACAAGGAGATCCCCTCTCCCCATACTTGTTTGTCTTATGACTCGAACGGCTGTGTCACTCAGTGGAAGAAGCTATTGCTGATAAGAAATCGAAACCAATAAGATTATCTCGAGGGGTCCAGATCCATGTTTGCTTTGCAGATGATCTGATACTTTTCGCGTAAACAGTTGTTTTGAAATTACTAAAACGACGTCGTTTTGAGTTTTGGGTAAAAAAAAAACTATACGTAGCAGATGACGTGTCAAGCCGAGTCATCTCCGTTAACAGAAAATCGGAGTTGACTAACAAAATGTTAGTCAATGCTGGTTTTAGTCAAGCTGTGTAAAGTTAGGATATGAAATCAATGATTTTTTGTAGTTGAGGTATGGATTAATACACATTTTTAGTTGAGGTAAGGATTGGTGCCTATAATTTCGCTTTCCCTCCCTTTGGATGACTTGGTTCATGATTCTATGTTTTCTCTCGCACATTCATGTCTCTAAAAATAAGTTTGTTAACCTATTTGTTCAGTTTAAACATCTCTTTTCATCAGTTTTGAAAAGAGTAATCCATATTCGTCGAAATATAACCAAATGTATAAAAACAAATATGTTAACGAAAACAAAAGTAGCTTAATAACTTGAAATAAATTATTTGCATATTGATTAATGTGCTTCAAACAAAAAGTGGTAATTCTTATTTGACCAAACTTACAACAACCAAAAAATAGAGAAGCAAAATAGAGGAAGCCAAAAACAGAAACGATGCTCGTGTTTCTCTGCATTTCAGGACTCCAAATCGAGAAGTGAAAGAGACCAAGAAGAATATGCTTCAGGTTGAATGTGTAAACAGAGAAATAGAAGCATCATCTCTGTTTTTGGCTTCCTCTCTTTTGCTTCTCTCTTTTTTTTTTTTTTTTTTTTTTTGTAAGTTTGGTAAAAGAAGAAATTACCCTTTTTGTTAGAAGTTGATGCAGCGCATCTCTCGTTACAGTTATGTTCTTGTCCTATATTTTGGGAAGTTGAGATTTTATTTCATTTTCTGTTTTACGTATCTTTGAACCTTAGGGATCGGGATTTTCATTTTCTTTATAAGGAGTAGTCTTGCTTGTAAAAAAGATCATCACTTATTGAATACAATCAAGAGCTTTTAGCTTTCAATTTCCTTTTTGATTACCAGCTTTTGAGCTATTAATCTGAGAGAAGCATATGTTGTTCGGGTATTCAGATAATCAACGAACGGCCCGTTTTGTTACGCTTCCGCTACACTAGAAGTACATTAGTCAATATGCAAGTAATTTATTTGAAGTTATTAAGTTACTTTTATTTTCGTGAACATATTATTTTATTCATTTGGTTATATTTCGACGAATATGAATTACTCTTTAAGAAACTGTTGAAAACAGATGTTTAAAACTTAACAAGTAAACTAAAAAATTATTATTTCTTTTAAAATCTTTAGAAGCACGAATGTGTAAGGACAAACATATATAATTATGAACGAATTCATCCAAAGTGATGATGATCTATAGAATCAATCATAAGTTCATGGGCTTTCTTGGCACATAATTGCTTCTTCTTCGGGTGTTAAATCATTCTTGATGTTTAAAAATGTGTGAATCTTTTATGGAGTTTTACCTGAGATCATATCAACGACTGTCTAACAAGTAAAATCAAGAAGAGTTTAAATGTTTAGAAAACTAGCAGCCAAAATAAGATGAAAGAGCGTCGATTGAGCAATATCACTCGTAAACTTAGTATCCCACTCTTTGAGTTCTGCTTCAGACGAACCACCATCACCACTGGGGATGACGATAATGTGTTTCTTGCAGTACCCGATCACTTTGGAGAGGATATCACCAGTGATGTTGACGCAGTTGTCTTCCATCATATGAGCTATCGTGTGCAACTGGAGAGTCACCACTTCTTCAACCTCAAAGATCTCACCATCTGATTCATAACAATCTTCTTTGTCGATATTGTTAGTTTATTTTGTGAAGATTGGTGATGAAAGTTAAGAAGTGAGGATGTTTAATAGTGAATGATACAATGTCATGAACCTATTGCATCTCTTTTTATGATCTCATGATTTTGGGAGCAAGTGATTTTATTCAAAGGTCAATAATGAATAAGAATTTATATATGGAAATATATTTATTTTCTCAAGCAAAACTTTTTGTTCCACCGGTTTGGATTCCTGAACCGTTCTAGGACCGAAGGCTGTTGGAAAAAAAAACAAGGAAATATATTAATTTGTGTTTTTGTCATAACTAAAAAGGAAATAAATATATTATATAGATATATATATATGTATATATATATATATATATTAAGATTACATGAGATAGCATCAAAAATATATTTCAAAAACCATATTCCTAAACACAAAAGAAAATGTCTTTGCGGTTTGCAACTCCAGCTAAAGCTGTCCAAGTGGAAAGTCTTGTTGATAGCTATACTTCGTATAATGGGAATGTCTTCTGGCTCCATGTATTCTTCGAGCATTCCTACATTCCAATCCTTTGTCTCTCTGTTTATGAAATCGCTAACGGTCATCCTAGGATGGACAATCGGAATCCTTGCGTTTGCATGTCTGGCTGGGATAGTTGGGATCCAAGGATCCTCCCAAGCTCTAGTATTGAGTCCAGAGTGGACTTTCTGCAGGATCCCCATTGTTAGCAGTGGTCTAGCCGCTAGGATACTTCTCCATCCGTACGACGGGGAGTCAGTGTGGCCTGCTCTAAGCGGTGTACTATAAGGGAAGTACTTTCCTCGCAAGACTCTTGCCAATAAAGACTCTGAAAACCGTAAGAGTCTCCATAGTTGCTTTGCCAGCAGGGCTAAATTAAAGTCATGAATGTCCCTGAAGCCTGTGCCCCCATCTTCTTTAGATATGCACATCTTGTCCCAAGTTGTCCAATGAATTCCTCTTCTTTCTGCATCAGAGCTCCACCAGATTCTGGCTATTGCGCTTGTGAGTTGGTCGCATACTTCCAACGGAAGTAGAAAGCTAGACATGACGTAGGTTGGTAGTGCCAATGCTACTGATTTTATTAGTATTTCCTTTCCTCTTTTAGAAAGCCATCTTGATTTCCATCCATTTAAGGCGCTCCTTGATATAAGCAAAGAGTTTACATTTTGATCCACTGATGTCTTCTGGGATTCCTAGATAGGTTCCCATTGAAGAGTTGTGTTTATAACTGATAAACAACAACTTATTGATGTGTATGTTTTTTTTTTTTTTTTTTTTTTTTTTTTTTTTGGCAACCTTATTGATGTGTATGTTAAACGAATTCTGTCATTAACTTGTAATCTCTCTCACGCGTCACACGCGCTTTTGCTTAATAATTTATCTTCTTCTTCAAACTACGGACAAAAGGAAAATCAAAAACGTGATGGATCCATCAAAAACTCGTGATGGATCTTTACCATTTATATCATTTTCTCTCTCTTCAAGATTCCTTTCCTCTCTCTCTCTCTCTCTCGAATATCTGATTCTTCTTCGTCCTCCATCTTCTCAAATCGGAAAATCTCTCAGTTCGCTACTCTAATGGCCGTAGTTCTCCGTTCAGATCCGCTCTCTCGGATCCACCCCGAGCCCCAAACCCTAGAATTCGACCACTCGTTTTCAACAAGACCGGCGATGTCAAGGCCCTTGGTCGTTGCTGTGTTGTTTCCAAGAGGTTCCATTCCCTCGTTCCCGACGATTGCGTCATCTCCGACGACGAATCCTCATCCCTCTCTTCCGATAAGCCTCAATCTGCCGCCGCCGGTCCCTTCTCCGCCATCTTCCGTCTCGTTAGAAGCTCTGGGACAGTTCCTGGGCACGAAGCGGTCGTCTGGCTCTTCTGGATCGTCTTCTTCTTCTTCGTCCTCTTTGTCTATTAGTGGAGGCGGAGACGACGGAGAGATGGAACAAGGCGGCGTCACTCACGAAATCTTCTGCTTTGTTTGCTCTCTTGTTTCAGAGAAAGGTGTGACACTTTGTGATGATCAGGATCCTGTTCTGTTATCAAGATCCACTGTCTTTGAAGGAAGATGTTTCCAGAATCTTGAAAGATGTGGTGGAGAGGGCAGAAAGGGGAAACTAAACCCTAACTTCATCTCTGTGATTCTTTTCGGTCTCTTCGCGATCGCCTCTGCAAAAGTTATCTTCGAGGAAAAATTCGACGGTAGCTACATATCGCTCTCTATTTTTATCTAGATTTCATGATTCCGTTTCCGATCGTTGTCTCTATTCGTATGCCATAAATTGTTGGTCCATAGTCATCACTGATACTCTCGTTCTTTAAATCGATGGAAGTTTTTAAAAATGGTTGGTGAGGATTGTTGTTAGATAGATCTGTGAATTTGTGGATTCTTCGAATTTGGAAATTATGATCTGTGATGATTGTTTCGGAGAACACCGGAATACAGATTCTGATGATTGCTTTACGTACTCGAAACTAGTGTGATTGCTTATCTACTGACTGCAATGTGCTACATGAAGCTGATTTGTGTGCTTTTGTTATCTCTGCTTCTGCAGATGGATGGGTTAAATATGAGAACACAGCTAGAGAATGGAGCCACACATCTGGAAATTGGTCTGGTGAAACAAAGGTATATGAATACTTCAGTATTAGTGATGATGATTCTTTTGAATCCATTTACTCATGTTATATCTCTGTTTTCAGGTATCCAGACGAGCGGGGACTACAGATTCTACGCCCTGCTTAGCGCTAGAGCCCTCTCACATAAGTGGTTTTTGCTTACGTGAGTTCCATTCCAGGAAAATCTACATTTAACCTTATGCCGTCTCATCTCTGATGCTTTCCATCTTCCTTGCTTTCTGATTTTGGATGCATTTTCATTCTTAACACCAGGGGACTTGCTTTAGTCTTTGAGTTTCTTGCCGGTTTGATCTCAAGACCAGCGTGGTGGGATTTAGCGTCCTTGTTGCCATTCTCTGTAGCATACTTTCCTTGAATCTTGGCTGCTCCTCTCACCTCCAAGTCACTCGTGATGTTAGCTCATACTATGAGTAAACCAATTACTGTTCCTGAGCAACAACGACGATGACAAAACCGAATGGTAAGTTTACATAAAAATAAAACTCGTTTGATCTATGTATATACATGTCCGTGTGTGTGGTGTTTGAATGATGTTGTATCTTCTTTCAGGGCTTTGGCTTTTAACTTCCCGGATTGGTTTTATTTTGCTTCTGCTATGCTCTTCTCGGAAGGAAACTCGTTAGAAAATATCCATTGCTGTGGAAGGATGTGATGTGGAGGAAGGTCTTTCCATTGCTGCGGCAACATATCTTTTTTGGATTCTTAACCCTGTAAGTGGAGCCATCCAATTATCACTAACTCACTCTCTCTTTAGAGTCTCATTAATATGTGCCAGCAAAAGTTGTATTATTTGTTGACGTTTCTTCTGGGTTTTCCAACTTATTCTATTCATGGAATATGTGTAATTAATTGTCATCAACTCTCTTAGCCAACTTATTTGGCTGTTTCCATATGTGCAGGGGAAGGAATTCGAATGCCTACTTGGATGGAGATTCAGCTAAAATCAGGAGTGTGCAACAAAACCATACGATCAGTTCTCATCGGCTGCATGAACGACAGAAAACAGGTTAGCTCTTTTACTCGTTATTTTTTGGTTTTGTGTTCTTGTTCTAACAACAAAGGTCCTCCTTTTATAAAAACTCAAAACCTTGTCGCTTTGGTTATGCTTTTATCAAGGTTTTCAAAGCATTTACGCTTCGGTTTTGGTTTTTATCAAAGTTCCAAACCCAAAAGATCATTGGCAGACACTAATCTAATAGTGTGTTGTCAGAATCTATTTTGGGGACATGTCCCGGTTGATTGGTTGGTAGTGCATGTCTAAGCAAAGGAAAGTCAGGGGCTGGAAAGTCTTTTAGAGTAAGACTATGGGTTTTGTTGCGTTGGATGGAAAAAAACGATGGTCTTAAAGTCTTTAGACTTGTTGGAAGGGAAACATGACCGATGGGCTTAAAGTCTAAGGACTATAAAATGGTGAAACCGTTACTTACCTACCCACGGCTTGAGAAAAGTAGTGAATCCGTTAGTACCCTCGGCTTATAAAAGTATTTAGACAGAGACTTAACGGATTCACTACTTTACTACCCACGGCTTATAAAATGTCTTAAGACTATAAACAAACAGTACTGAGAATGTCCCGTTTGATTGGTTGGTAGTGCATGCATGTCTTTAGGAAAAGACTGCGATGAGTCTAAGGACTATAAAATGGTGAGACCGTTGCTTACCTACACCTACCCACGGCTTGAGAAAAGTAGTGAATCCGTACTTTACCCTCGGCTTAAAAGTCTTTAGACAAAAGACTTAACGGATTCACAACTTTACTACTACCCACGGCTTATAAAAGGTCCCAAGACTATAAACTGGTTTTGGACTTGTTGGATGGGAATTATTACCGATGGCTTAGAGAGTCTAAGGACTATAAAAAGTTCTGACGAGTTACTTGTACCCACGGCTTGAAAAGTAGTGAATCCGTTAGTCCGTTACTACCCTCGGCTTATAAAAGTCCTTACAAAGACTTAACGGATTCACTACTTTACTACTACCCAAAGACAGACTATGGGTAGAGATTCTCGATTAGTTGGGTGGAAGAAATGACCCAATGCTTAAAAGAAATCTTAAGCTAGTACCCACGGCTAAGAGAAAGTAGTGAATCTGCTGCCTTACTTGTACCCACGGCTTGAAAACTGTTTTAAGACAAGGACAATGTCTAAAACAGATTTATACTTACCCACGGCTTAAGTCTTTAGAAAAAGACTGGATCAGTAGTTTTTTGATGTGTTGATCCATCAGTCTAGAGACATAGACTAAGACTATGAACCGAAAAAGTAAGTCTGAAATATGACCACAAGGCTTACACAAGTCTTAAAAACAGAGACTATGACCCGTAAACAGAGACTATAAACACAAGGCAAAAGCCATTAGACAAAGAACGATCAATGGCTGGAAAGTTTGTAAAGACAGAGACTATGGGCAGAGTCTCGATTTGTTGGATGGAAAAAAAGACCAAATGCTTAAAGAAGTCATAAGCTAGTACCCACGGCTTGAAAAAATTCTTTAGAAGAAGACTGGGTCGGTTTTGGATTTGCTGGATCCATCAGTCTAGACATAGACTATGAACCAAAAACGATCTCTTAAATATCACCACAAGGCTGAAAAACAGAGACTATGACCCGTAAACTTGTTCTTGAATATGAACACAAGGGGAAAGCCATTAGACAACAAACGATCAAAGGCTGGATATGTTTCGAAAAGACAGACTATGGTAAGAGATTCTCGATGGAAAAATGAACAAATGCTTAAAGAAGTCTTAAGCTAGTTCTCACGGGTTAGCGAAAGTAAAGTAGTGGATCTGTTACTTTACTTGTACCCACGGCTTGGAAAGAGTCTTAGGGATAAGACTGTGAACTGAAAAGGGATTTGTTACTTTACTACCACAACTAAGAAAAGGTCTTTAGGATAAAGACTTGGAGAATGTTTCTTAGTATACCCACGGCTTAAAAAGAGTAAGAGTCTTAAAGACGAAGACTTGGAAAAGATTACTCAGTTTACCCACGGCTTACAAAATATTTAAGACAAAGACTTGGAGCATGAGTCTTAGTGTACCCACGGCTTAAAAAGAGTAAGAGTCTTAAAGACAAAGACTTGGAAAAAATTACTCAGTTTACCCACGGCTTAGAAAAGAGTTAAGACAGAGACTTGGAGCATGAGTCTTAGTATACCCACGGCTTAAAAAGAGTAATAGTCTTAAGACAAAGACTTGGAAAAGTTTACTCAGTTTACCCACGGCTTACAAAAGGGTTAAGACAAAGACTTGGAGAATGAGTCTTGAGACAAAGATCATGTAAAAAACCGGATTCATGATCTGCGCCTTGAAAGTGACAAGGTAAGTATGAGGTGTTTTACTTGAAGTAGAGACTAACAATTTCTAATTTTGATTTTTTCAGGTATATGCTACAGAAAGTGTTCATGTTCTCATGTACTTCTCTGCTTTTTTCAGACAGAATGTCTTCGCAGGTATGCACTTTTCTATATTTTTTGGTACTAAGTTGATATCATTAAATATGAAAAGCACAATTAAGTTAAGTTAGAAATATTGATCTAAGTGCACTTTAAGTTTCTCTTTCATATGTGTGTTAATAATTCGCAAGGACTTATCTGCTTTTCAGACATAGAGACTTCACAGGTATGAGCTTCTATATTTTTCTGTACGTAAATTGATATTCGTAAATATGAAAATCACAAACTAAGATGAGTTATATATATCTACGTAGTTAAAAGTACTGATCTTAAGTTCCATTTAAGTATTTCTTTAGTATACAGTTGTGTAGATAATGCATGCTACTATTCTTTATCTAGTTATTTATCAGATTTTAGAAACTCAATTCATTGATGAAAAGGTAGAATTTATTTTTGGTTATAGAACATTTGATTCTGTGTATACAGTGTGAGAATTGAGTAACCACTGTTTTGCTCTTTTGCTTCAATTGATGCTTTTATGTAATGCTACTATCCTTTATCTAGTTGTTTATCAGATTCTTGATGATCAAGTAGATTTTAGGTATTAGAACATTAGATTTTGTGTATACAGTGTGATTATTGAGTAACCACTGCCTTGACTTTATGCTTGAATTGGTGCTTTTGTGTAAGGTCTATCATTTCATAAAAAAGGCGTATCTTGGAATCTTTTGTAGATATTTATTTCTCACCATATCCATTTGATAAAATGGTACAAACTTTCTTGCTAATTTGAACGTTACAATATCATCTCTGTTTCGGTCCTTGTATGTATCAGATGGTCTCTCATTTTGAGAAATAGATGTATCTTGGAGTAGTTTCATGTAGATAGGTATTCTAAACGTATTTGAGACTCATGCATATTATGGTTTTAGTTTCCTTGAATCTCAAATGTATATGTTTTGCATTTTGCTCTGAATCTTTGGTGATCATTCTAAGCATGTGAAATGGCATCCTCACATTTTAACATATTCATCACTGATGATTTATGGGCAAGAAAACAACATTTCTTGTTCATTGTTTGTTCATGATGGACAATTTGAATGTCGATGTTAGTTTTTGTTGTGTTTGGGATTATAAAATCTGTATGGTTAATACATTTCTTGCATTTTGGTTGGTTGTTTGTCTGACTATTGTTCATTCTTTGTTACGACTGACAGTGATCTTTGCTTCTGGTACTAGTCTGACTTTTGCTTCTTGCCTTCTTGATTACTAGAATAGTCTCAGTATGGTAAATTGATTAACCTGTCTTGGAAATATATGTATTCTTGTGTGTTTATCTTACATTAAATCTAATTAAGGGTCCATTTTGGTCTGTGATTGTTTTGCATTATGCTCTAATTACTTGATGATCTTTCTAAAATGACATCCTCGTGATTCAGCATCCACCATCCATATCGTTGATGATGAATACTGTGTTAGGTTATATAAATCGTACCTACTGACTTTAGTTTTTGTAGTAACAATGATTGAAATATCACTGTTATGGTATTAGTGTCTTATCACTTCGCCTCTTCAGTGTTACAGAGTTGATGCATTAAATTACATTACCAGTGTAGTTATTTGGAATGTGTACCTAAGATCTTTCTTGATTTCCCTTGCATGTTTCTTTTTGTTTTAGTAACAAATTTCTTAAATCAAAAATCTAGCTATTTGCAGTATCTGAGTACCAATTTTATCATCCTCCTTATAGGCATGTCGAATAAATGCTCTGATTTGCTCTGCTGTTGAGGTCAATATTCTGTGTATCGTAGACTTGCAAGTTTTTGACAAAATCCAGTTTTCTGTTACTTTGTGATATTTCTCTTCAATAAAATAGTTTATGGGATAACTGAAATTTTGGTTATCTTTTGCTATGACTTTCTCTGCTATAACATAGTTGTTGAACATAGTTTTAGAAATAAT